CAACCCTGAGACCAAGAGTCAGATATTCTTCCAACTGAGCCTGCCAGGTGCCCCCAACATGCGACTCTTGATCTCGGGGTCATGTATTCAGGCCCCATGTTGGGTGTGGAGATTACTTTAAAAAAATAAAATACTACAGTTTAAATTTTTCTTAAATGTTTTATTTATTTCTGAGAGAGAGAGAGAGGCAGCTTGAGTAGGGGAGGCTCAGAGAGAGAGGGGGATAACAGAATCTGAAGCAGGCTCCAGGCTCTGAGCTAGCTGTCAGCACAGAGCCCAACGCGGGGCTCAAACCCATGAACCGTGAGATCATACCTGAGCTGAAGTCGGACATTTAACCGACTGGGCCACCCAGGCGCCCCGCTGCAGTTTAAAAAAATAATTTAAAAAAAGATGTGATATGTACTCACGCATGTGCGCACACCTGGCTATAAGAAAGGTGAGATCTTGCCACTCACAACAACATGGATGGACCAGAGGATATTATGCTCAGTGAAGTAAATCAGAGAAAGACAAATGCTGTACAGTTTCGTGGACTCTAAAACACAAAACAGACAAAAGCAGAAACAGATCCATCGATCCAGAGCCCACACGGGGTTGCTGGAGGGGAGGGGTGCAGGGAGGAGGGGGTCTGGGGAGCACAGTCAGTGGTGCTGTCACAGCGATGTGTGGTGATGACGGCAGCTCCACTCATGTGACCACGTTGTGGTCCTAATTCTGCACTTCGGTCAACAAGAGCTCTCTACTGTCTATGGTTTCCTAATCTCATTTCCCTCACTTTACAGTCTCCCACTCTTTCCTCAAATGTTATTAAAAGAGATAAAGGTGAGGGAAACAAGGAAACACCATTTATCGCTTCTCCACATTTTTTGTTTCTTGTTAGCTTTTCTCTCATACTTTTTTTCTATTACCTTTTTAAAAAACCTCCCTTGCCCCTTCCCTTCCGCCTCAACCCTATTATGGTGATTATCCGGCTCTGCACCTCCTGGCCCCCCTTCTGGGAATGTTGTGCCCTTGACTGAGGGTTGTGCACACAGCACGGTTCCTGGCCATGGGATCCTGGAGCCCAGGCTCTCGCTGCTGTACCTGTTCTCAAGGGTGGGGTGCGGGGGAAGCTTACTCCTCATTCCCAGTACCCGACCTGAGTTGTAAGTGCTTCTTAAGCAGATGGGAGCTTCGCCCCATAGCAACGTCACTGTCCCCCACTGTGTGCAGAAATACTTTCTCCTGCGGGAGAGGGAGACCCCAGCTAGCCCTTTGGGAATTGTGCATAGCCCCAGTGCTTCCCTGTGACCGTGTCACCGAGCAAATGCCACCTGCCTTGGGGCTTTACTCAGTTGAAAAAGGCTGAAAACCTAACCAAAGAACAGGTAGATGTATTATGTTTGGTTTGGGGCATGTATTTTGACCATATGGTATTAAAAGGTGAACAAACTCTGAAAAAAGACTTTCACTCTGTAGAAGACATTAGATTTGTTTTTACTAGTTGTTATTTATCAACCCAAGGCTGAGTTTAGGTGAAAAATCACCCTGCAGGTTCTACTGGGGATTAAAAGTGGCCAATTGGAAAGATACCGCAAGTGGAGTAAGGCTGCTCCTGATGGATGAGGAGGCGGGCACAGCGCAGATCCGACGGGTTTCCGCTCCACCTGTAGGTGTGTTTCGGGCGTTTCTGACATCTGATTGCTGTGTCCACTAGCATAAAAGCTTCAGAGGGATTTTGGGCGCCTGGGTGGCTTAGTCGGTTAAGCGTCCGGCTTTCGCTTGGGTCATGATCTCGCGGTTCGTGGGTTCGAGCCCCGCGTCGGGCTCTGTGCTGGCTGCCGGCTCAGAGCCTGGAGCCTATTTCAGAGTCTGTGTCTCCCTCTCTCTCTGACCCTCCCCTGCTCACGCTGTTTCTCTGTCTCTCATAGA